GTGTGTGTGTGTGTGTGTGTGTGTGTGTGTGTGTACAAGCAAATGCACTCATATAACAAAACCATTTTTACAGATATTTGCCTTATTAAACAAAAGATGTGCCATATATTTTATTAAATCATAGAAAACATTTGTATACAAATCTTTCCATTTAGGGGAAACTTGAATATTAAACATCTGGATAAGAAAACAGTTATCTTGCTCTAAGCAGAGACAGGTTTTAACTGGTCACATTTTTTAAAATTAAAAAGAAAGCTGAAATAATCGGTAGCAGGTTGTTGGCTTTTCCTACCTGTAGCCAGATGAACCCTCCATTTTCTTTAAGGATTTTTTCATTAAGTCACCATGAGTTAACTTGAACTCTGAATACAAAATCAATTTCTTTTCAAACTACATGGGTTTTTAGAATACTGTAAATGCTGAATTTCAGGAGATGGTCTCATTCCACAGGGCTGATTAAACTTCCTTTCTACAATGGCAAACAAGTATAACAAGAGTGTGGAATATACTTTGGAATAAGTTAAATATTAAGACATTTAGTATGACAAGAACGTCCTACTTTTCTTTCTACCAAATAAATTTCAAAGTTCATCCTAATCGTATACATTTGTAAAAGAGTGAAGACGGAGGGATCCAGTGACACTGAAAATACACAACAACAGTCAGAACCATTTTCTCTAAACACTTTGATGGAATATGTACAATGGTCCTGCCAGAATCATGACTGCATTTGGTCCACAGGGCATCCAAACAACAGACTCTGCAGTCCACCAAATGAAAACGGGCAGTGGTTTTGAAATGTAAGTTGTCACTTGTTCTGCTTCTGAGCAGAGATCCAGAGTGACACTGACATGCCTGCACTCACACCAAATACTTACATAACATCAACACAAGTTAAATATTATCAAAATCATTTTAAATTAAATTGAAGACTGCTACCTTTAAGTGCACGAAATACTTTCTCCCCTAGCTTATTAACCATGTTACAGATCATGAATTAACAAGAAATATGTTAGAGCCAACGTGCTTCCTGTGAGAACTCCCTGGAGTAACAAGTGAGACCTCTGAGGGGAGCAAGGGAGAGATCATTCACTCCAGATGGATGGGTGGTCTCAGAAACTCGTCTGGATTTCAGACTCATTAAAGAAGGAAGCTGAAAATGGGAACCTTGGCTGGTGTCTTGCTCAAGGTGGCAATCTTCTGCCCCAGCACCCTTAATACTGCAGGCCTCACTTGATGCCTCTCCCAGGTCCTGGGCCCCCACTGTCAATCTGCAGACCTGGACCTCTCCCAGGGAACATGTAAACAAATCTGGGGAAAACAGCATTTCTGCGTTTTCGTTATGTCAGTGAAAAACCTCTTCGGCTAAGAAAAATAATAATAGGAAGGACTACCCCAATGTCAGCTTCCCATAAGGCTTGTCTTCTGCTTTTTGCTGTAGAAAACCATACAGTCAAATCAAATATTTTGCCTGGCTTACCCAAAATGGTATTAAACAGTCAGACTACCTTACTCTTTGGACTCCATTATTCCTGAATTATACAAATGCTCATCAGAGTTTCTGGTCTGCCATCTTGTCACTGGAGGTGACTTGGGGATGAGGCCAGGCTCTTGTGCAGGTTGGGATTCTGGCTATGTCTGTTTCGACTGCGGACAGATGAAAACATGGTGTTGCAGCCCGGCACTTTGCACTTGTGGAGCTGGCGGAGGTGCACAGTTTTGTAGTGGGCCCTAAAGGTCCCTTTGTTACTGTAAGTCTTTTGGCAGAGGTGACAGGTTATGGGTAACCCAGAAGGCAGGCTGGCAAGGCTCTGATCAGCCTTCTCCATCAGGACACAGATGGGGTACTCATCCTCCCCGGGGACAAGGCTTGGTCCTCCGCAGTCCCCGTCACTGTCCTCCACAAGCACAGCACCCTCCTCGCTCACCCCGTCAGAATCCCAGGAGGAATGGCTGCTGCTGTCCGACTTCATGCTCGAGGTCGTGCTCAAATCCAAGATGGCGCCCTCGCTAGGGGGGCCAGAGTTGTAGCTCTCCAGGCTGGCACTGTGGACTTGGGTTATTGGGTAAACAAGGCCACCCATCCGACTGGTTCCCTTGAAAATGACAGATGTCTGGGATGCTTGCTGTGTGAAAGCCGTGTCCTGATATGTGTCCTTGGCCACATCTTTCAGCAGGTAAGCTGCACGGAAATGGTCTTCACTACTCTCCAGTGCTTCTTGGCTCAATGCTTTTTGGTGGAGGCTTAGATTTGAACTGTGTCTACAAGAGTGAAAAGATGATTAGCGTGAGTTGAGCTGTTGTTTCAGAGTCATCGTTCTGAGAAGAAAGACTTGGTAGACACCAGGAAAACTTGTGGTGTGGGAGAAGGGATGGTAGGGGTCAGGGATGTACTGTGTGGTTAGTGAGCACTGCTTCGCGCTGTTCACAGCTTGTCAAGAGTTAGCATTCAGCAGGAAGGCCAACAGCTGGAAAATTTCGATTTTCTTCATCTGATTGACGTGTAACTTCCTATACTTTGTCTATAGAGGATGGCTAGACTACTTCAATTAGGCTAGTTTAACTGGTACACTTGGAACCAGGAGATCCTAGGAGAGTATCAGTCACAAATCATTAGGAACTAAGCTGAGGACTTTATTTCAATGAAACCAGAGAATATTATCTTCTCGAGCTGCACTGACTCCTGTAGTTATTAAGCACCTGAAATGTGGCTAGTGTCATATAACGAAATGACAATATTTTGGATATACTTAAGTTACTTTACCTGCTTCTTTTTACCTTTTAAATGTAACTATTAGACTTATATAAAAATAGAAGAATGAAACCTGTTGAAATTGTTCTAAGAAGGGGGTGGGGAAAGAGGGAGAATGATAGAGGGAGTAAATCTGGCTACTATGTAAGCACATATGTAAATATCACAATGTATCCCCCCGTACAACTATGACATGATAATAATGTTTAAAAATAAATATGGTTATTAGAATATAACATTTCCTATGTGGTTCACACCATTTCTCACTGGATAGTGCTAGTCCACAGCATTTGCACATACTTCATGCCAGAAGTTGTACAGGACTAGATAAAAATCTGATAGGTACAATGTGTGTGTGTGTGTGTGTGTGTGCACTCACATTTGCAGCATTTCACTGGCAACTAGACAGGAGTTTTGCAAATGTAGCAGTGTGAGCATACTACCAATCTTGTACCCAGTGATTACTCCTGAAGGGCAGATAATGACCATCTATTATGACACACACCTTTCACTCAGATGGTATCATTTGGATGTAACTTGTAAATCAACGCTGCTCTTGCTTAAGGATCCCCTAACTTCTGACAATAAAATCCAGTCCTTATCAAGAGGTCCTCTTAAAGATGACAGTAGAATGATTCCAACATATGGAAAATGTCTCAATACAGATCAGAATGTATCAAGGTCAAGTTGGGAAAAAAACCCATCACCAAAATAATTAAGAGCTTTATTTTTTTCTTCCAAATCTGCCAAGATGCATGTATGTGGAAGAATCATCATATTCCATAAAATGCCTAAGATTTACTATGTGATCTCTTAGCACATTTGCTCTGGACATGATCAGAATTATACTTCAGATCACCCACTCTGCGAGTAGCTCTTTGCACCAGCAGCTCTGCCCTGTGATTATGTCAGCGTTCCAGGTCAAAGGAGCTGGTATATGTTGGCAGAAAACCAGACATTAGACTGACATCTGGGTTCTAGCACATACAAGTGGTTAAAACCACTTCAGATGTTTAGTAGAACCAGGAAAAGAAAGCTCCCTATTGCAATAAGGCGAAGCTCTTCTGAGTATCCCACAAATGTCATGAGCTAACTGTGAGCTCCTCTTCCCCCTTCTCAAGCCTCAGAGGGCTAGATGCATTTCCTGAGGTGCCATCTTGGCTGTGACCAGCACTACCACAATGGCAGAAACCCTCTGGACCATGAGCCAGGCCTTCTGCTCCCAGGATGTGCAAATCCTGTGCCTGTTGCCCTTATTGTCCTTTCAACCTTAAGCTCTCCCTCCAACTCTTCCCCTGGTTCCATTCTAGTTGAGACCAGCAGTACTCAAAGCGTGGTCTGAGCAAGGCTTGTGGTCCTGGAGACCCATCAGGGGGCTCCCGAAGTCAGTTCATAATTAACAAGACATTCTTTGCCTTTTTTATTCTCATTCTCTCACGGGTGTACAGTGGAGTTTTCCAGACACAGATCTGCAACAACTGAAGCAGAACAAATGTGAGGATAGGCTGTCTTCTACCTAAACCAGACATGTAGAGAGATTTGCAAAAGTCTAAAACAAAGCCCCTTGTCTCACTAAATTTTTGTTTTAGAGACGGTAGCTATTTTTTCATAAAAATGTTATGCTAACATGTAATAGATATATTCTTATTTTGAAGTGCTATGATAAATATTATTTTTCAGTTTCAATTTCTAGTATGGTAGATAGTGACAGCGGTAGCCCAAATGGAGAAATGCCCTGAAGTTCCTTAGCTATTAAACACTGGGAGTCACAGGCTCACACATACATCTCCTTCTTCCAGGAAGCCTTCCTTAACTCCTCCAGGAGGCTGGCTAGCTGCCCTTCCCTGTGCCCATAGCTGCTTCCATTTCCTCCACAGTAGCAGTCTTCATATTCACCTGTAATTGCCTTTTCCTGGTCTGTTCCTCTACTCACTGAAGACCTTTGTGGACAGGTATTGTGTCCCAAGCATCTAACACAGAACATCCTTAATATTGTTGGAATATTGTTGGTTAAGCATCAAGGTATGATACCAATCTTTTCTTCATGGGTCCTAGTGACTGCCGCTGACAGTAACAGTGACTCAAAGAGGGGAAATCAGTTGTCCTAACAGCACCAAGGCGCTCACCTCTGACTCGGAGATATGGTGGTGGGCCTAGGCCTGTCCACAAAGCCCTACTTAAAATGGTGTCTTTTTAATCATAGATTCGAGGTAAATGCAGTCCAAGTTCTAGACTATTCTAAACTTAGATTACAAGATGCTTTCTTGTTGCAATGGGGGCTTGTATCTACAAGTAGGTCAGAACACATGAAAATATTGAATATATGAAAAAATAAATATCAAATGAAAAATTATCTTCAGTCTAGTATGTGTTCTGATTTAATAGATACTGTAGGCTACACCAGCCTCATAAATATGGAAGATAATCTAACTGATATGATCACTGTTCTTCATAACAATGGCTCATTCATGAGCAAACACCCCTCTTCTTAGAGGATGAAGGAGAAGAAGGACTGGTTCACTAATTAGGGTACACTAGTGGTTTGGTTTAACATCCTAGCAACAGAAACAGGAATTTTAACTAATATCTCCTGTGCTCTATCCTCTTTACTAAAGACAATGAGTGTGTTCTTGTGAGCTCTATCCAGGAATGTGTGTGGGAGTCTGTACATTTTCACTCTCTTAACAAATTTGGACTAAGTTAGTGGTGGTGTTGAATTGCTTCAAGTCAAACTTGTTAGAGCAAATGTAACATTTTAATATTCTGTGAGCCATTTATCTCATTACACTTCATCAGACAGCTGATCCTTTCCTTAAGCTCCTAGTCATCTTCTGGAATGCCTTCTCTTTCTTTTACAGGCTGCAGAGGAGGGTGACCTGAACAGTGGCAAGTGACTCAAGTGCATGAATAAAAGCACAAGCCAGATACTAACACCAGCTCTGTGTCCACAGTGATACATGTGTACTCTGTAACAGCTGACTGTGTGTGCCATGAAAATCTACCATCTTTCAGCTGGGTGCCAGGGGCTCACATCTGGAATCCCTACGACTTGGGATGCATACATTAGGAAGACGTGGTCTGAAGCCAGCCCAGGCAAACAGTTCCTGAAGCCCTATCTTGAAAAAAACCCAATACAAAACAGGGCTGGCAGAGTGGCTCAATGGCAGAGTGTCTGCCTAGCAAGCATGAGGCCCTGAGTTCAAACCCCAGTACTCTCCCCCACAAAAAAAAAAAAAAACAGAAAAAAATCCAGCATCTTTCAACTGGACATCATGGCTCCAGAAACAACCTGTCAATCACCTTTGATTGTAATATTTTTAAAAATTTAATCAAGGGTCATTTTTCCTTTCAAATGTAGCTTGTTGACTAGAAATCAGAGAAAATGTCTCATTTGATAGACTTCACATTATGAAATGAAAATCAGAAACACTGTGAGAAACTGCAGTGTTAACTTTAAAAAAGATTCCTCCTCTGTCTTCAAATAGTAATCTTTTACCCAAGCTGTCCATGTGAGAACTAGCTCATGATTCTTATCCTACCCCTTGGAGCCAGATATGCTTCTGAATTCAGAATTTCTCAGACTTCAGAAAGGTAAAATTATATATATCCTAAATATATTAATGTCTATATACTACATTCAGTAACATTTCTTTACCAAATACATACAACAAACTCACACAAAGGTAGACTGACAAAAAGATTACAAATAGCCTCATGACATCTAAGGACAGGTTTTGCAACCAAACAATTTTAGATTTTTGGATTTTTTTGTTTTTGTTTTTTTCGGTACTGGGGTTTGAACTCATGGCCTACACCTTGAACCAGCCCTTTTTTGTGATTTTTTTTTTTTTTTCCCTCTAGATAGGATCTCAGAGAACTATTTGCCCAGGCTGGCTTCGAACCTCAATGCCCCTGATCTCTACCTCCTGAGTAGCTACAAAGATTTTGGGAATTTAAAATTCATGGCTTTCCCCAACAACAATGGAATGGCATCACCTGGGAACCTGTTAGAACTGCAAACTCCTCACCCTTGACCTACTGAAGCAGTAAGTCTATGGTTAGAGCCCAGAAATCTGTTTTCACAACCTTCCAGGTGATTCTGATGCATGTTTAAGAACCACTGTCTTAGGAAAAATGAGGGCCAACTGATGCCTTACCTGTCTCTGCTCCTGCGGGATGGGAACCTGGCACCGCACCCCTCCACTGTGCATGCGTGAGTTTCTTTCATGTGCGTATTCTTGTGGTGCACTTTCATGCTGCAAGCGTTCTTAAAGCTTTTCTTGCAGATGTCACACTGGAAGTGATTTTCATCTTTCTGCCTCGCTAATGCATGCTGACCCATGTGTTCCAGTTCTTTAGAATCTTCGAGACAAGGAAAAGTCATTCCTCTGTTGGACAAAGCACTGAAGAGTCCTCCAGCCAGCAGGCGCTGCTGTAATTCCACATAGTCAGGAAAAGGAACTTGGGGCTCTGTTCCAGGTGTGAAGTGGTGTTCGTGGCCACCATCCTCTACCTCTCTTGGAGCCATGGTCAGAGTCAGCTTCTGCTCAGTTTCCCTCTCTGAACTGTGTGGGGCCTGCTCAAGGGTTCGGCTGACGGCTCCACGGAACTCAATCACTGATTCAAGATTGCAGGACCTCTCTCCTCGCGGGAGAGGCTTCCCTAAGCTTCCGGACTGGGTGTTCTGCTCCTCAGGTGCTCTGTCTGACTGAGGGCTGCAGACCTCTGGCTCGTCTTCACTGACCACCTGCAGGGGCATGTCTTCATCTGAGCTGAGGCTGTGTCTCTTTTCACTGGCTAGCTCCGCCACTTCCTTCTCTATTTTGACAGGCATACTGGACTTCCGAGACTTCTTCTTGGGAAGAGTGTCCAGTGGCATTTCATGGGAAAGCAGCTGCTCAGGGATCGAAGAGGACAGCAGAGGGAGTGAAGGCAGCATCCCAGGCGTGTTTGCCAGCTCGGCGGGAGTGGCTGGACTGCGGTAGAAAGGGAGGACCGGCTGGACTGTCTTCAGGTTTGGAAAAAGCACACCATTCTGCCCAATGCTGGAGAAGGCTGGCTGGCCTGTGGCCGCCTCCCCTGAACCCGGGTAGCTGGGGAGAGGCCCGCAGTCTGGAGACATTGCCGTGAAACCTGGGCGCTTGTAGTCCTCAGAGCTGGCCATGTGCAGGCTGTTCCGGAGGTCTCTGTCCCTGTTGTTTCTGTTCATGGGCATGTGCAGCCGAGGGTTGGGGTTGGCGCTGTGGCGGTTCCGGCTCCTCAGGGAGCTGAACACCATGTTACAGCCCTCAATGGTGCACTTGTGTTTGATCTTCAGGTGCACTGCGTTATAATGGATCTTGAGAGTGCCTTTGTCATAGAACGTCTTCTCACATGCAGTGCAGAACACCCGGCCCTTCTTTGTGCTAAGGCTGGTCCTCTCTGGTTTCACTTTAGCCTCTGGGGATAACTGTGTCCTTTCGAGCTTAGTGACAATGCTGTATGAGCTGGAGTCAGTTAAATGGGCGCTGTCTTCTTTCTGAGTAACACCATCTGGGCAATTTAAGCACTGCTCTTTTTCAAGCTGAAATGGCGTGGAAGTTAGGAAGCTGCTGTCAGAGAAGGGCCTGCGCACGTCTTGCTTGGGGTCCTGGCTTTGGTCCTGACCCTGCTCCAGCATGTATTGTTCGGGCAGTGACCCTATCAGTGCAGGAGGCAGAGGGTTGAAGAATTGGAAAGGCAGCATGAAAGTCATGTTGTTTATGAGGTTCTCAAAAGGGTGTATACTGCTAGGGTTTCCTTTGTCCACACAGGCAGGGAGGCTGGAACTCCTATGGCTGCAGCTCTCGATGAAAGCCCTGATGTCTACATTTGCTGTGGAAGGTGGTGTGATGATAGGCTGCTCTTCTTTCTCTTGAATGGCCATGAGCTCAACTATGGACTTGGTCTCCCCAAAACGAAGGAACTGCTGCAAGGTGGCCACTTCTTCCTCACTGGTCATGATGCTCCAGTGATCCAGCACCTTTCCTGATGCATCCTAAATCCAAATCATTTAAAAGCATGATCAAGTTACTATTCTTGATTCTTTTCTCTATGAAAGTGGCACAGGGCACCTTTGCACAGATCAGAAAGATGCTTCCTCTGGATGCACATGCAGACTCTGCTCACCCACTCTCTCAGGCCAGAAACCTTGTGCAGAACCTAACTGCACAAATGTGAGTAGTAGCCTCACAACTAGTCCAGAAAGAGAAATAAATTAAGTTACTCCAGCCCAAGTCAAAGAAATTTGGTGATCATTTTTCACCTATTTCAAGCCAAATTGGCTGTCAGGCATTAGACATAATAATTTCCCCTAAAATTAAAACATACATCATTTGAACAATAGTAACTTCTTTACCTAAAGAGTGCAAATGGAGCAATCAGGCCAGATATAGCTTAAGAATTCACTTACTGCAAGTTAATAATCTTCCTGAGCAACTGCCACCAAAACCAAATGACTCTGTATTGATCTGCTGCCCACATTCGCAAAGCAGAGCTGTAATTACACGGGAGTGCTGGAGATCTTTCAAACTCTAGCAAGGCCTAACTTTTCCCAAAACTACAATTAATATTTTATCATAGAACATGTATTTGATGGCCTACTGAGATTTTTCACAGTGCATGTAAGAGTTCTGAAGATGATGAGGAATGTAACATCGTAAATTTTTCATGCATTAGAGGTTCAAGGTAATTGATTCTATATTTTTAATCCTAACACTAGAAAGCAAGATTATTAGGATCATTAAATATTCATCTATGTCATAATGTAAGATCATAATGTACTCTGCACAAGTGGTTGTTTCTAGACTGCTGGGGGCCACCACACATGTTTCCAGGGAAAGACTAAGGGCCTTGCAGTCAGGCAGAAGCAGGCTGATGTTCTGGTCTACCACACACCAGAGGAACGACTTTCAGCAAGACCTTAAAGCACTCTGAGTCTGGCTTTCCAGAGAAAAAGAGATAATAAACCTATTTCATGAGATTACTAGAAGGGCATCTAGGTAAGTGAGTGGTTGTTATTAGTATTTGTTTTAATGATATGGCCTGCCTAAGACTGAAGTTTAAATGAGATTTGAGGAAACATTTCTCATTTCACTGAGATTTTGACCAAAGTTAGCTGACACTTTCTAGTGCAGAGGGAAGAAAAAATGCTCTAGTTGTTTCATATCTCAAAGGAATGATGTAATTCATTTCAGGAAATGTGTTCCTTGCTGGTAAAAACACCTAGATTGCCTCACTGAATATAAAACATGAGATCTTACACCTGTGGCATGGTGTGAAAATACAGAGAGAAGGGATGAAGGACAGGACTTGGAACACTGGAAAAAAGAGGAAAGTGCAGGGTGGTGGAGAGAGGGAGAGAAGGCAAGGAGGGAGGGACAGAGAGAGAGAAAGAAGAGAGAGAGGAGAGAGAGAAGAGAAGAGAAGAGAAGAGAAGAGAAGAGAAGAGAAGAGAAGAGAAGAGAAAAGAGAAAGACAAAAGTGTCCCAAAGGAATCAGGGGAGGAAAATTCGGCTTTAAAGAACAGGAAGGAATGGTGCAAACTTATAAGTCACTTGTAATTTGCTGTAGTCTGGAATGTAAGTTCCCTTTCTTCTTCCACATTTCAGTAAAATCTGACACAGATAGCTAGCATTTGGCATGGATAACCAGTAGGCAGTTTGGGGATAACGGAAGTAATGGAGGTGGCATCCAACATGGGGCAAAAGAGTCACCATGGAAGAAGTAGCTTAGTGAAACACACTCAGAGAATATGTCCTGCTCCCACAGCCTAAAGTTTCACAGACATCCTGGGGAAAGCAAGAGACTCCTCCCAGAATATGAGGTAGAAAAAAATATTAAAGGGACCACATTACTGGGAGGGATTTGAGTGGTATCAGGTACATGGGCACTAATTGTAGAAGGCACTCTAGGAGAACAGTGGCCATTGTCACAGTACCTGTAGCACATATCCACGGATGTAGTCCTGAAGGGTCCAGTCTAAGGCATGGAGAATCTGGAGAACCTCATCTTGCTTCAGCACACTGAAGAGCCGGTCCAGTAGGATTTTCAGGCGGACAGGGATGGCCTGGGTCCCGTAGAGCATGAGGCTACTGATATCAAACACCACATTGGACTGGACAATCTCCACCTGGCTTGTTGGATACATGGGGGGAATCCTCAGCTTACTTAGAGCTGAAAACCAAATTGAAAAGTTCTAATTTTAGGAAAAACACAGAAAATAAGCTAGGGCTAATTTTCAGTTATTTGTTCCAACAACAACAAAAAACACATGAGCATACAAATTACTAATTAACCTTAAAAGCTATGGCTTCAGGGTTATTTACAGGAACCTCTAAAATAAAATCCAACTGGCTTAAGATTTTTCTCCCTTTCTTGTGGCATCCTGAAGTAGTAAAATCATTACCAACTGGGAAGGTACCAAGAAAGGTTGAAGCAAAGTCAGCAAGTAAACACTCATGCACACTCCAGAGGCTGGCAATGGGGAAGCCAAGAGAGTGAAGGAAAAGAGCTTGGGCTTGGGAATCTGCAGGATCCGCCTCCAGCCAGATCTGCTACTCCACGTGGATGATGTATGAAGAGAGACAAAGCAAGCTGATTCTATGATGTTCAATGCAGCAGCAATCAGCACCTACGGCTATTAACACTGAGACTAAAACTACATTTAAATTTAACTCCATTCTTGAGGGAACTAGTCACATTGCTAGTATTCAGAAGCTACAAGTGGCCATTGTAGGGTTGTCAGATTAGGCAAATGAATAAGCAGGATGCCCGTAATAAATATCAGATACACAATGAATAAAGGATATACTTACACTAAAAATATTTATTATGACACACTTAAGGTAAAAAAAAATTAGAGGTTGCTTATTAGCAGAGAATATTTTGATGGCTGCAAAATCAACTGCACTGAAGCACCAGTTCTACATCTTTAGAGTGAGGTTAATAAGGCGCTACTCTGAGCTAAAATTCAGAGGTAAGCACGCTATGCTGCCAACCTGTTGCCTGGAACACACTGGAAACTTAGTAGCTAGCTGTCACCCTTCAATATTAAGCCAGCTCCTGAATGAATGCAAGTCACTGGGAAGGGGCACTGCAGGCTGAGGGAGGGAAGAAAAGTTACCATGAGCCACCCAGCCGTGTCTGCACTGCTCGCACTGACGCGTGTTTATTTTCCCAGGTCTGAAACTTTGGCAAGTGCAGTTCAGAGTGCAGCCGATAGCCTGCAAAAGAGAACAGGGTTTATGAGCTCAATGTTAGTGCTGTGAGGAGTGTACCTTGTATTTATGAAACAGAGCAATTCCCTCCATTCAGCAGCATTTGCTGAGCACTATGTGCCCACGCTGTGCAGGCCCAAAGGACTACGACCACATGACATGGACAATCTGCATGTGAGACTAGGCAAAAAAACCCATCTGGACTTTTTTCTTTTTGTTTGTTTGACACAGAGTGTCACTATATAACCCAGGCTTTCTTGAACCTGCCATCCTGTCTCGTCTCAGCCTCCCAAGTGCAAAGAATACAGGCTGTGCCTTCATACCTGGTTAAACATCGGGACTTGCAGAAAACATGGCTTGGAAAGAAACATCCTGCTGTTATTAAGGTTGTAGAAAGAGTTAACAGCCAAATTGCCACCAAATCTCTAAACTGACCAGAGCAGCCACTCTGAAATGTGTATAGAGGCCATCTTGGAACAAGTGAAAGAGAATGGTCTGAACCAAGAGTAATCCACAAACAGAATTTGTCACCCTGCACCCTCAGGATGCAGTAGAGGCTGAAAACAGAAACGTATCTGAGAACATCACGGCTGGCTTTGCTGAGGAACATTCCCTAGCCCCATTCAGTGGACTGTGAGACTCAGAGACAGACACAGGCTGGACAGGCCCACTGATGCCCCAGTTGTAGCTATAGTATCATGTTTGGGGTGTCTGTAAAAATACAGGTGAAACAGAAAACAGACATGCATGTGTTCAACAAAGTTCTAGTGCTAAGAGCAAAGCTTTATATATATATTTTAAGATGAATTTCTTGAAAGGAGATAGAGGCCTGAAGAACATAATCTATTATTAAAGAGAAAAAGCCTCAAAGACGCTCTGCCAGTGAGGGTCTGGGAAGACTGCCGGGTGAAACCTGCATGATTCAGAGAACCTTGAAACTGGAGTGAGTGTGTGCGTTTGCAGAAGTGATGGAAAAGCCTTACAATTATGGGCTTAAACCTTTAATCTGCGAGCTTCAGGACTGTGAGGCCCTGCATGGAAGACACTGAAAGGAGTCTGGCCAAGGACTTGGGAAACTCACTTCAAGGAGTATATAAGCAATCTTCACTTACAAATCAGTTGCTGGTGGAACAGTTACATGGTACAGCCACTTAGGAAAAGAGTGCGGCAGCTCTTCAAAAAGTCAAATGTAGAGTTTCTACATGACCCAGAAGTTCCACTCCTAGTCAAGAGAACTGACAACATAAGTCCACCCAAAAAAACTGTACAGAAATGTTCACAGGGGAATTATTCACAATAACCAGAAAGCAGAACCAGCCCTAATACCCTTTAACCGATGAATGAACAAAATGTGGGATGGTCATGGAATCTTATTTGTCAGTAGAAAGAACTGAAGAACTGATACATGCTATGACATGGGTAAACACTGAAAGCATGCTGAGTGTGAAGCCAGGTACAAGTCACAGACTGTATGATCCCAGTTCCACGAAACGGCAAGAGGAGGCCAATCCAAAGCGGAGTAGTGTTGAGGGGGAGTGGAGCAGGGATGGATGGCAATGGGTGGTAGTGGAGTGTTCTTTTTCTTTTTCTTCTTTTTTTTAAAAGCTTTATTGAGACATTATTTACACATCACATAATTCACTTATTTAAAGTACAATAGAGTGATTTCTGGTATATTGTACCACCATCATCATGATCTAAACCATTTTCAACATCTCCAAGTTCACAATGACACCTCATTTCTCTTGGGCAAAGTTCTGGAAATGTAGTAGCTGGACCACATGTACGTATGACTCAATTTATCGAGCTTCGCAGATACTGCTTTTGACAATTGAAAGTCTGTGGCAGCCTGTGTTGAACAAGTCTATTAGCACTATTTTTCCAACACCTCAGATGACTGTTAGTATTTTAGCAATAAAGTATGTTTTAATTAAGGTGCATCCATTGTTTTTTTAACTACCACTGCGCAATTAATAGACTACAGTGTAATGTAAACATGACTTTTATATGAACAGGGAAACAAAAAAATGAGTAATCTGCTTTATTGTGCTATTTGCTTTACTGTGGTAGTGCTGCTGAGGAACTGGCAAACTTCAAGAAGCAGCCCCACTGTCTGCTCCCACCCAGTGTGTGAGGTTTCCATTTCTCCATGTTCACCAGAACTTATTACTGCCTTTTTGATTACAGCTGTGCTAGTGGCTGAAAGCTATCTCCTTGTGGTTTTGATTTGCATTTCCCTGACGCTTAATGGTTAGTGCTTTTCTGTGCTTACTGGAGACGTGCCTATTCAGAACCCCTGCTGATTTTTTAATTGGGATGTCTTTTTAGGATTGAGCCATAAGAGTTCTGTGTATTTTCAGGTACATGTCCATTACCAGATACATGATTTGACATATTTTCTCCTTCCTGATGGTAACCTTTGAAACACCAAAGTTTTAAATTTTGACCAGGGTTTCTTTTTGCAGTGATAAAAATGTTCTAAAATTAGATAGTAGTGATGGCTGTACAACTATGAGTTTTATGTATTGGTTTCTGAGACAAGATCTCATTATGTAGGGTCCAGACTGGCCTCAAACTCATGATTCTTCTGCCTTAGTCTTTCAAGTGCTGGGATTACAGATGTGGACCATCATGCCCAGCTAACTGTATACTTTAAAAGGGTGAATTTTATGGTATGTGAAGTATATCCCAACAACATCCTTTAACAAACTGGTGAACTATTTAAGTACACATTAAAATTTCCAAGATTTGCCTGTCTTCTATTATTTCTTTTGGATTAGAATAGGCCTGAACAGAGCCACAACCAGGAGATTTCAGGAGAAGGAGCAGGGATGTTCATACTGAGGTGTGCAACAGAGTGTCAGCACTGTCTGATCTGCTCAGAGGCTACGAAAAGCAGGACACAGGAGAAAGGTTTTGTTTTCTGTAAAGTCATACAATAAGATATAGAGCCTGATGCAATCACAGCTCTGTCCTTCTCTGATAATGTATGCATCCTTGTGTGGGGGGGTATCTTCCCCAGGGGAGTGAAAATTGGCTTACGGGATTGAAAAATACTATTTTTATGTACAAGGTACAGATATGCATATATGCATACACAGTAAAAGAATGCAGCTGATATGGGATTTCACTGAGAGGCACAATTAGGAAAAGAATTCTAAAATCACCTTAGCTGTGGAAGTAATGAAAAAGATTAAGAAACACTATACTGATGCCAAAATTTATACTACTTATTTATTTATAATTTATTTATTCTGGTGACAGTTTCTAGTTGTATACGCATATATAAATATCACAATTTACACAGCTATTATCCTGAATGAAAGTTGAAGGATAAAAGTGAATGAATGATAGCTGAATGTACATTACACACCATCAAAACAAAGAAAGTAAAAAGTGTCATTTGTTTAGTTTGCAGCACACTTAGTATGGTGTCAACATCTCATTCTTGGCCATATCCTATGCACATCAACTCACAGATGAACCAATAATTTGTGCATGGCCAGGGCTACCAGAACACTCAGCACTAGAACTCTGAAATATTTTGCAATCTGGATTCTACAAACGTGACTTGTTTTACAGGAAGCTTTTTTAAAGGGAGGAAGTTCTTTGGGTTATATCCCTCAAGGTGCCATTCACTCTTTAAAAATAAGATGGTGAAACTATGCAAGGAAACTCACATTTCATTTATTCTGAAAACAGGACCTATTTTAACCACAGACAGAGAGATGTCCAGAGAGAGTACGTGCATCATCCAATCACTAAGGATTGCTCAAAAGGCTGGAGGAACTAGGTGTGGTGGAGCACAGCTAGAATCCCAGATACCTGGGAGGTGGACATGGGAAAATGGGTGGTCTGAGGCCAGCCCAGGCAAAGTTAGTACAAGATTCTATCTAAAAAATAAAAATAGTAAAAGGATTGGGGACGTGGCTCACAAGGCAGAGCATTTGCCTAGCAAGCATGAGGCCCTCAGTTCAATCCCAGTACTACACACACAAAAAAAGTTGGGGGTTTGTTGGGCACCAATGGTTCACATCTATAATGTTAGCTACTAGGGAGGCAGAGATCAGGAGGAGCACAGTTCCAAGCCAGCTCAGGCAAGTAGTTCAGAGAACCTATCTCGAAAATACCCAACACAATAAAAAGGCCTGGCAGATGGCTCAAGTGGTAGAGCACCTGCCTAGCAAGTGAGAAGGCAAGTTCAAAACCTAGTACCACCAAAAAAAA